TGTTCTGGTTTTTTACACTGGTCCAGGGACCAGTGCGGAGAGGTGTCATGGTCCAACCATGTGGATCAGGCAAAACTCACTGGAGGAATGCTAACTTTTTTTTAACTGCTAATGAAGCATTTAGTATTTTACTTTGGACCAGAGCAGAGAAAAATGACTTGTCCGAACGAAGCGGCTACTCCACCTATGGGTACCGTCCTGCTCCACACAGAGGCCTGTCCACCTCTGCTGCTGTGAACCGTCACCGCTACACCCAGAGGCTACTCAACCTCTGTCCTGGACCCGTCCCTGCTCCCCAGAGGCTGCTCCACCTTGCTGCTGTGAAACGTCGCTGCTCCACCAGAGGCTTACTCACCTCTGTCATGTGACCCGTCCTGCTCCACCCAGTAGGCTTACTCCACTCGTGTCCTGGTGACCCCGTCGCTGCTCCACCCAGAGGGCTACTCCCCTCTGTCCTGTGACCCCGTCTGGCTCCACCCAGAGGCTACTCCACCTCTGCTGCTGTGACCCGTCCTGCTCCACCCCGAGCTACTCCCACCTCTGCTGCTGTGACCAGTCCTGCTCCACCAGGAGGCTACTCTCAACCTCTGCTGCTGTGACGTCCTGGCTCCACCCAGAGGCTACTTCCACCTCTGCTGCTGTGGACGTCATGACTCACCCAGAGGGCTACTCCACTTGCTGCTGTGACCTGAAGGGCTTTGTTGCTGAATGCTTTATTGTTAGCTCTTTTGGAATGTATCATTTTATTTTTTATTTTTGCTGCTACTGGAACACCTGAATTTCTCCGACGGGGATGTAGAAAGAAATAATCCATCTATCCCATCTATACATGATCAACATTGACATTTATCCAAAGAACGAGTAAAAGCAGAGTTGGAGTTTGTATTTCCTGGGAGAATTTAGTTCCTGATTTTTATTATGGAGTAAATGAGTCATCAGAGGGCCCAAAACTACAGAACCTGAGCTCAAGAGTCCAGGACAGACAAAACGGAGGCTTTGGTTTGAGGTTTTCATGTTGACAGTATTCTATGGTGGGCGTGGAAGGTGCTGGGCGGAGGTAAATGCTGCTGAAGACACATTTATAAAATAATCTTCCGATTTCAGGAAAATGGTGTGTGATTTCTCCAGTGGGAAATTATGTCAATAATAAATAGATTTTCTTGTACCAACCAAAGCCACACAGTTACTATGGTCTCTGCCTATTACTACTCACCCATCTCCAGCAGTCAAAACCTTTTAGGATCTTATATTAGCCTAGTTTTGGTATTTGATACTACAACTGTACAAAATGTAAACCCATATTACATCAGTCAAGATATCTTATTTATTATTATATTGAATTCCACATTGGGGTGACTTTGTCTCTAACATTCATGTTTTGACCTTTTTTGGCAATGAGGCAAATGCCTTAATATTCTTTATAAGGAGAGCAAGGAGCAATAATACCAAACCACTTTAAAGCCATATAGGATAGTGCAGTTGGTTGTTTTTGTTCATGAGCTTAAAGGCCCATGTGGAGGTTTATGTTCAATGGTGGAAGAATCAGGCATGCTCTCCCCTGTGATTTGTTGTCATCCGTATCTGTATCCTAATGTATCCAATCCGAAGAGCAATAAGCCTAAAGGACTCTTCTTATCTGATTTTGTCCTGCAATTTTGTGGTGTGACGTGAACAATCCTTTGCTTATATACACAGTAAACATAACTGCATTCTGGATTTTAGCAGCATAAATTCTGAAATGCTGCCATTCAAGGTTTTAGTCTCACTCTGAGCACTTAGCAGCGGCACTGGTTGGCACGGTGGCGTGAGTGGATAGCACTCTCGCATCTCAGCCAAGAATGGTCCTGGTTCGAATCCCGGTCGGACAGGGCCCTTTCTGTGTGGAGTTTGCTTGTTCTCCCTGTGTTCTGCGTAGGTTTCCTCCGGGTACTCCGGTTTTCCCTACCACTAAAAAAGATGATGTCCACAATAGGTTATGGCATGAGCCTCCTGTTACTGGCGAACCCGCTTCCCCATCTCTGTGTGGGAGTGAGAGGGGAACTTATGCCAAAATTAACAAATTTGTAAACCAGTTTGAGACCAGATCTGCAGTGAAAAGGGGGTTTATAAATAAAAACTTACTTATTTACTTACTGCAGGAGGGCCACTCCCTGTGCTCCTCATGATTCATATGGCACTAACCTGTCACTGAGCCATGTACTGTAACTCAGCAGTGGAAAAAGACCTTGTAACTTTTAAACCACGCAAATGAACAAAAAAACCCTGACCCACATCTGGAGATCAGAATTCTTTCAGACAGAAATATGAAAAAGAGGGACTACCCTCACTCAGCCAATCAAGCTCGCAGCTCAAAAAAAGTGTCAAAAAGTAAACCCACTAGTAATTATGCAAAGATAACACACTTTCAAATGAAAATTAAGAAGCTGTGTTGGGAACTAAAACATAACTAACTTAATTTTATGATTTAAATAATAAAATGTACTCAAGCTTTCATTGTATTCCCGTTAAGCGAGTGACAAAGGCAGTTCTGCGAGGTCCTGAGAGCATTCTTGCTAGCAGCTGGTAGCCAGCTCAGCAATAAATGTCGGGGATTGGTGTTATTACGAGGCTCCTCTCACTCCTACAAAACGGTGAGTTTGTGGCTAATTGAAGTGTATACACAGCTTTACATGTGTGCAGTTGTAATGAAGCGATAGTTTATTAAGAAATGTGAATAAAGAATGTTTATTATGCGTGTCATATCCACATCCGTGTCTGCAAGCACTGACGTGGCTCCCTCTTCTGATGTTTGCAAGAGTGAACTGAAACCTTTGCTTTTTTATGGGGGCTGAATGTCTTTATTTTAGCTAAATTTGGACTGTTTGCTCATGTATTTCCAGGCCGTGTCGTGCTTATCATTGAGATTAAATTATTAAAGGAAAATCAATGTTTGTTTTAGGCCAATCTAGACTCACCCCCTCTTTCCATAAGTACATTTTTATTTTTTGTTAAACGGTATTCGTTTGAATTTTCCTCACAAACAACTAGTATTTTTATGATGAAGCTTTTTTCATGACATTTGTTATAAAAAAAATAAGAATATATAGTTTAGTAGTCAAAAACCAACTTTGAGCTCTCCTTGAAAAACTAATTTCTCATTCAAAGCATTTCTAATGGGACACATTCAGACTGAAAGTGATAGAAAAAAAAACACGGCAGCGGCACCTTTATTGACAAAGCAAGTCAATTCAAGCAGGTATTAGTGTGTGTTTTATATAGATAAAAATCAAACAAGGACAAATCTTCTCTTACTTTTCACAGTATTTTGACAAATTGGAGTGATATTGGCTTCATTTACAAAGGACACACCAACTATGGTTGAACACCACACTTTCATAAATGAATGATTATTGTCGGTAATCGGAATTCATTTATTGCCATTGTAAGGGAACTGGAAGTCACAAGGCTACTATTTGCTTTGGCTCTTGGTGGCAAACAAGTTATAAAAGTACTATTAATGGTGGGCGGCATACAAAAAATACAAGTTCACAGTGTATGTCCAGAAACCTTCCTTGAAAAAAGGGTCGTTATCTCAATGGGACTTTGCTGTTTAAATGAATACAAATTAAAAACTCATTTGTACATCTCGGACTTTATTAAAGCAGTAGACAATTGTTTGCCCCTATAAATTCTCTCCTGGGTCATTCGCTTTCTCTTGATGCAAATATTTCAAGGCCAATATTTGATACTAATTTATTTTTTGCAAACAACAAATTTGACATATGTTATGAATTTTAAAATGCTTGTTAGATAATAAACTGCAGTGTTTTGGAATATTCACAAGTATTGTTTTTTTTTTTTTTAACCGCTGAGGGAAAAGGTTCTTGGTTGTCCTTTTGTTTTTTCTTATACAGTTTATTATCAATACTTGAGAAAATTGTATCAAGTTTTGTTTAGGCTGTAACAAGTCAATCAATTTAATCGCAATAATTGATTTTTGCAGCCACTAATAAGTCTTTTCAAAATTTATCATTTTTCTAAGACACTTCCAAACATCTACAGGCACTCAAACAAACATGGATTATTGGACTTATTAATTCATTAATCAAATCTTGTTTTTGGCCACACTCAGAAGAGAAATTTTATTTTTAATCAAAACAAACCAATGTGTAATTAGTCGTCTCTGTGAAGATGTTCACTAGGGCAACTCTGAGCCTCATGGTGAAATTCAAATTAATCTCATATTCAACTGCTTTCAGTATCCAAAACAAATAATTAGTTTGAGTGTTAGTATTGTCTCTTGATGCATCTTTACAGCATGGGGACCATCAGTGGCATAGTGTCCTGTTTGTATAATTGAGAGAGAATAAATGATTGAAGGTTCTTTGCTTTGACCAATTATTGAGTGCTGAGATTGCAAACACACAGACAAAAGCTTTCAGTTACATAATGATAGTAGACAGAAGATAGATAGTGGAAATAAAAGTATTGGGTATCTTCTATTTCCAGACAATATAAGTTTTGCAATGGTATTACTTTGGGACATGTTTCGATGAACCAAATACTTTTAATTGTAACATGTATTATTTACAATCTTGTCTTGTTGGCATGTACTTTCTTCTGTGTAAACTTTTGTATGTTTATTAGGTATTGTCCCTGGAAGAAATAAATAAAATAAATGGTTAGTTGCAGCCCTTAGATTCACTTTGATAGTTTTTTTGATTGCAGCTTCTCAAAAGGATAGACTCACCTATTTATTTTTTACATGTAACAAATGTTTGGCTCTGAAGTCACTTTAAAATGTTGGTTTTGTCGTATGTCTGTGGCACAAGTCTTGCCCGCCCATCTGTTTCTCAAAATCTGTGTCCTTTTGCCCTCTGCACTGACATGCTCGGTTAGTGTCTGTGCTCTGGGGTCAGCTGTCTGCGTATGGAGCCGATTCTGTCCTCTGAAGCCTGCGGGAGATGGGCTCTCCAGTAACCTGCTGTGCAGCGGCTGTGATCTGTTGGGAGAGTTCTGCCTCAACACACTGCAGCCTGACTGTCGGAGTGCTGCCAACAAGAGCTCAGCAGGGAGTGCCGCAAGGTGAGTGGCCCAACACATCCACAGACTCTGACCGAGCTCTGACCGCATCCACAGCTTCTGACCGCACCCCACAGGTCGGACCGCACCCACAGGCTCTGACCGCACCACAGCTCTTGACCGCATCCACAAGGCTCTGACGCATTCCCAGACTCTCGCCCGCATCCACAGGCTCTGACCGCCAATCCACAGGGCTCTGACGCCACCCCACAGACCTCTGACCGCATCCACCAGGGCTCTTTGACCGCATCACAGGGCTCTGACCGCATCACAGGCTCTATGACCGCATCCACAGACTCTGACCGCATCACAGACTTGGGACCGTACACCCACAGGCCTCTGACCGGCATCCACAGGCTCTGGACCGTATCACAGACTCTGACCGCACCCACAGACTCTGACCGCACATCCACAGGCTGGTCTGACCGCGCCACAGGCTCTGACCGCATCACAGCTCTGACCGCACCCACAGGCTTGACCGCATCCACAGACCGCAATCCACAGGCCTCTGAACGCATCCACAGACTCTGATGACCGCAACCACAGACTCTGACCGCCACCCACAGGCTACTGACCGCACCGTCATGTATAATCAGTCTACATAATGGCACAATGCATATTTCAATAGTTTAGATTCATTTATTGTTTATTTGTATGTATATATGTAGTGTTTATATGGTATCAACAATACTTTCTTGGGTTATTCCCAAATTTCAGTCGATAACTCAGACAGATAGATATTCATTATCTGTGTTACGCTTTTCTGGCTAGTCTCTAAGTTTCTAAGAAATTGTAAATTAACCTCATCCTGATAAATTCATGGCTATAGCGCCAGTTCACGGACTTCAACTTGGGGGAACTGCATGAACAAGTAAATATGCAGAATGATAGCTGCAATGGTATCAGCTGGATTCTTTTTATATGCTATTTGCATTAAGTCACTGGGTAATAATGTGTTAAATCTTCATCTACAATTTATAAATTCCTCATCCGAAGCTCTATCGCACTGCCCACTGGGTGTATTCTGCTGTGGGGACTTAGTAAGCAGGTTGTAGTCTTGGCATCCTCTCTGCATAGGACTGCTGCTTAGGAATCATTATGCGGATTGCAGTGTGGTGATATTTATTAAAGGTTGTAATCACTTCAGCAAGAGCACTCTTCTTTCAAAGTGCTGTTGCCGATGCTGCTGACTCTTAGTCACCAAGGTGGGCCTGCCTCTGACTTATAGAGATTCGACAAGGTGAGGACAAAGCTCTCAAACTCACGCAAGGAGCATCTGGATTCTTGATGTTCACAGCTGTATCGACACTGTGGGAACCACCTCTAAGGCCAACGGAGAGCAGGGGTGCTCAATACGTCGATCGCGATCTACCAGTCGATCGCAAAGGTAGTATTGGTAGATCGCATTAAATAAATAAAAAATTACACATTCTAAACGAATAATATATACAAAAAACTCCGGGCAAAGTGGAGATTTTTGAAAACTCCGTTAATGCATTTGTGTGTAGACAGAGCAGATAACCAGAGTTTTGCGTTCTCGCACGCCACAGTACCCCCCTAAATTCCTCTGATCACTGAAGCATGGATCATACTACCTTAAAAACTGTTCGCTGTGAGATGCTCGCAGCAGCGAACATCCTTGCTCCACATCAGAGAGCAGCAAAGTGATCGCGGGGACTCACGCTCGAAAACAACCAAACCAGGACTAAACCAGGACTAAACCAGGACTAAACCATGGGCTGAGGACGGGGTCAGTGCTTGTAAACATACGTCTTACTCTTTACTCTGAGTGTCTTCTATGACTGTAAAAGTGCCGTTACCGGCGTCTGCATCAAAGCTCCGCCCACTTCTGTGTTTTTCCCCAACGCAGGACAGGACGTAAGAGACGCACATGTTTGGAATGTTACGAATGTGATGATAACGCAGATGTGTGGATGCAAATTATTTTATAAACTGAGGAGGGGAAATATTTGGATTTAAAAAAAACCAGGCATGGCACATGGACATGGCACCACAGTCAAATGACATCTGTGTTTTACTCAGTAATGTTTTACTGACACTTAGGTGACTGCACATGCGCAAACAACCGCGCTCAGTGCAGGAAAGCTAAACAACGACAAACTTGTCAGCGAGTTACCACCAATTTTCCGGACTATGCATCCCTGGCCGATTCAATTCAGTGCAAGTCATAAGAGTAAACTCGGGTAATGACAAAAAATGTACATAGGTAATTGTGTTGTGTTGTGCTAATATTGGCTCATGCGGTTTTGGTACATAAACTACATGAAATAATATGTGATTTGCATTTTTTTGTAGTATAAACATACTTGATTATAAGCATGTAAAGTGTGAATATTTTTTGTTTTTATTGAATAAGTTATCTATGTGATTTCTCCAATTTTGAAGTAGTGTAGGTGATTTCTTTTCTTATTTCATTTTTTTGACCTTGATCGACTTCTTTATAAAGTAGCTCGTGCTCACAGTTCTCCTTTATCCATGCTTGTGTGCTTTGGAAAAAGTGCTTCTGTAACAGATGAAGCTCACCGCAGCCCCCGCCTCTCCACCTGAACTCGGGAGCACACTCACCACGGCAGATCCGGATTGTGTTATCAGCACAGCCTTTTATGTCCACATGTTATGTGTAGTCCTGTAGCCTGCATGGCTCTTGTGAGAGTCCCTGTTGTTGAGAGAATGCTTCTTTTATTAGCAAGGCAGGCAGACATGCCGGATTCAGCACCCTCTCAGTGGACAGCTCCTTCCTCTTGTGTCTGCTTTGTATGTATGCATTGTATGTGTGTGCCATGTTTTTCACATTTTTGCATATGTGTGTTTGCAAGTTTGTCTTCGAAATGTAACATCATAATTCCTGCAAAAAAATAAAGAGAAACTGTGCAGTGTCCATTGCAAGAAGTCAATAATAACTTGGTTGGAGCATCTGCTGAAAGAGCATCTATTGTTTTCATGAGTTTGTATGACTTTGTTAATGTCAAATTAAATACAAGCCACTGCAAACAAATTCATGAAGGGCGCAAAAAACAACATCTGAATGTAGTGGGTTGTGTCTCTGAGTCCTGAGAATATGGGCAGAGGAGATCTGGGATGACCAAACAAAAAATGACCAGAGTCCGCAAGAGCCTGCGAAGGAATCTGAGCCGGGGGACACAGCCTCAATTGTGCTTTTCTGCCTAAACAGCCTCTTCCTCTGCAATGCACTCCTGCTCCAGTGATTCGCTCGCTGAATACTGCCCATTTGCATAGCCACTCTCCCTCCTGCATCCTGGCTGGCTGTTAGCGCTCCCCCTCCCGCTCCCTCCTGCTCCTCTCTCCTCTCTCCTCTTGCGCACATCTCCACAAGCGTGTTTGCCGATGCCGCCCGTGTGTATTCGCTCGCGTTCCAGTACCAGATCTCCTCTCTCAGGTGATGTGTGTTTGTCTCCCTGAGCAATAGTTTGAATCCGTGGAGGGAGAGACGACTTGGCACAACTGGCTCAGGTACAGCCCTTGCCTTTCCTGCTCTTCGCCTCAGCTGCACTAACACTCCGATTGGACTTGGATTTAACTATGGTCCCTACGCTGGAAGTCTTCTAGAGGAGGAACAGGATTGGGACTCACTGTGTCCGCTTGGCTGCTCTGAAGAAATGCACTTTGTCTCCATTCTTTTATCTATTTTAAACTCGACTGTCAGGTTTTTTGGGGGAATATTAGCACCGGTGAGATGTGCTAAACTCAAAGAAGTGCTCGTAAAGGGAACTGGCGCTAAAAAAAAAAAAAAGGGAATTCTTCATTGCTCTCTTTTCCTGATTGTTTTTTATGATGATTAATGAGACTTTGGTTCCACCCTGTCCGCCACTACGGAATGTCTAAAGTGCTGCTGAACATACAAAGGCTTGCATTTAAACTGCAACCGGACATTTTGTGCGCTTGTCCCTTTTGCTTATTTTCTCTTGGCAATAATGTGCAATTTGGCACAGTGCGCGCCATTGGGCTGCAGGCTCTCCTGAAGTTTCACCTTGATCTTGAAGCCTTTGTCTGGCCGCTCAGGGATAATGTTTGGAGGTTGGAGGACACAGTTTATCCCCTTAAGACTTACAGTGGAACTCTCTAAGTTGAGTCCAGCCTAGGGTACCTGGTCTGGTGGATCTCTGTCTTGGCACTGGGTTTGGTGGTGGGGGTCAGAACCAGGCGATGTGGACAAATCTTCATCACGCCACACCCCTCACACGGAAGCAAACATCACCATAATATGCCTACTGCTATCTCACAGATCGCCTGCGTCACTTAGAGCAGTGCACAGTAGTAGATTGTCTCTTTGATGCCTTGCTTTCATATTAAATCAAGTTTGTATACAGTCATACACGTTATTGGAAATTTCTTTCTCTAATAACATTCCACTCAGCGTAGCTTATATCAGTCATTTTCCATCCTCAGCAAAGTGCCCTCTGTCTTTGTTCGAGATTAGCCACTATCCCTATCTCCAGATGCTCCACCGTGTCCAGATATAGCAGGATTTAGAACCATACTGGTGCGCTGTGTTGCCCGTGGGGTGTTCGGATTGCGGCAAAGAGGCGTAGAGTCCAGCGCTGCAGGGTGTTGAGCCACCCTTGCCTGTGCCCAACCTTAGTGAGGCCTCCTACTAAAAGGCCAAGTGGGGTCTTGACAATTAGCTGTTGGAGCTAAACAAACAGCACATACAAGGATTAGTCTAATTTCATCCAATGTTGTAGGTGAGAATTCCATAAGCCGTTCATAGTCAAGCTTGGTTTCAGGAGGTTGACAAGCTACTTTATCCGAGAAAACTATGGGTTGTAGGGGTTCAAGTGGACGTAACCACAACTGGTTCAGTGTTGACGTAATGCACCCTCTCTTTTCATCTTTGTGTTTTCCAGGATTTTTTTCAGATAACTTTAATATGCTAAGCCCTTGCTGGCGAGTTACTTTGTAAGATCGTCCAACATCTTGTGTCATTTATGATACAATTATATTTTGTTTTGTTAAGAGAGAAAACACATATCTATTTTTTAGGTCAACTAATGTAGAGTGGGCTTGTTGTCAACTTGATGCAGACACTGGGTCGTTTTCTAAATTGACGTATGGCGCTTCTTGCTCTACAGTTTGTTCTCTTTTAGTTATACTACTCAAAGCTTTGATATCATTTGAAATTTCTCATTTGCCTTTACACAGTTCTAGCATTATTATATTTGCTCTGGAAGTCTCCTGGTCTACAGTCTCAACTTCTCTAAGGCTGGTTGTCAGACCAAAATCGAGCACAAGTTTGGACATTAAAGTTTTTTTTGTGCGAGTTATCAGAAAGCTATTATGGGAGGCACTTGGAGCTCTGGGGCCTAGACCCAGCTTGGACTAGGTCTGGAGTGTGGAGATAGGAGGATGTCCGCACTCTTCCTCTCCATGATGAGGGAGATGGGGCTAGCTGTTCTACAGAGGCAACAAGAGAGGCAATTAGGCCACTCTGCCATGACCCGTCTGGATTGGACAGCGCTCTGCTCCTCACCCCCAGGGC